ACACTTAGGAAGATAATATACATATATCCAATTACTTTAGTTACAAGAAAACAAACTGACAGATAAGTGGAAACACACACACACACACACACACACACACACACACACACACACACACATACACACACACACACACACACACACACATAGATATCTTGTCTCTCCTCAAGTCCAAAATATAAGAGTTATGAGTTTTTAGTACAATGATACTGCCACTGAAAATTTATTTATGTTACTTATTTTAAATATAAATGCTATCACAAGTCTACTCAAAAGCTTTTTTTTTTAACAGATATAAGGAAATCTACTGGGATAATCTAGAGTAAAAATACAGTCACCACTCATACTGAGAACATTTTAAAATCTGGCATGCAGCCTAGGTTTAAAAAAGATAATATGTTTTTAAGTAATAAAGAAATTCAAACAACACTAAGTTTAACCATGAGTTACAATAGCATAGTTAGTTAAATAAATAATTTTTTTCTATAGCCTTGACAGATTACAGTAATTATAATCATGTATGTTGTGAAACTTCAAAAGAAAAACAACAGTTTTATATTAAAAATGTTTATTGCAGCATTATTCACAACAGCAAAAAGATGGAACCAACTGTGCTGCCCATCGAAAGAGGATTGGATTAAAAAAAAGGTGGTACATATACACAATGGAAGAATATTATGCAGCCATAAAGGACAAAATTATGAACTTCGCAGCAACTTGGATAGACTTAGAGGCTATAATGCTGAGTGATCTATCACAGAAACAAAGAACTGAGTATCACATGTTCTCACTCCTAAGCGGACGTTGAACAACTGTCATCATACTATAAGAAAGGGATCGGCCGTCGTGGGAAACTCCCAGGGTAGGGCACACCTCATCAAGAAGGGTACCTGCATAATGAACATTTGTATACCTAGCCCTAAATTGTACCCCACATATTTCAATTTAAAAAAATTGAAAAAATCAAAAACAATTCAATGTTAAAACAAATAGATTTAATTCCCAAACAACATATCATTTGATATATAAGCCATGTATGGATGCTGGAGATATTTTAAAGGAGGTGATTGTTTCCTAAATGTCAGCGTTCCTATAATTTCTGAATACCATCTTCCATATTAGAAAACAGATTTCTATGACAGAAGGAAAGATACTGTGTTTCAAAGTTTCCAGAAGCTAAATACCTTGCTCTAACTCCACACACCTTCCTCTCAAGCTCTGTTCTCCCACCGCTCTCTGAAAATGAACTCTGGCTCTCCTTGGTGATTAAAATCTGGGCAATGGGCAAACAGGAAAATTGGCTAAAATCAGATAGACTAAGGAGATGATGTAATAAAGAGCTGGCCTGGAGACAGGAAAGAAAAGAGAAGAGAGAGCCTGGGGACCAAATTCAAACAAGAGATTGAGGACTTAGCTGTTAGGAAGGAGAGGCACCGTTTCTGAAGTGGATGGGGAATGCTGGAGACTGACGGAAGAATAAAAATGATTAGTTAATTATCAGTTATTTTAATTTGAAATGTTAAACGTTCTGTTTTTCAACTAATGTGAACAGAATATGTTTGCGTATGTGTTTTAGCAACGTGAAATCTTTCAAGTTCTGAAGTGCATTTGAAGACTGATATTTCTTCTGAATTGCAGATGGATACTTGTTTGTTTTAACACACCTATGGGCTGGATAAATTTTTTCTTTTCTTTTTTTTTAGGTGAACTGACATATAATGTACACATTTGTTTTTTTTTTTTTGAAGGTAAGTAAGCAGGATTTATTGAGGACAGAAAAGCTCCCACAATGGGAGGGGGCCTGAAGGGGTTGCCCAAAATGTATATATTTGAAGTGTAAGTTTGAAGTTTTCATAAAAGTATAAGCCCATCTCTGAAATTAGTAAAAATAAAAAATAAGAATACAGACTTTTATCCATAATTAATTTTTTTATTTTGCACACTATAGTAAAGTTTCCCTGTGTTTGACATTGTTCAGAAAAACAAGCATGTGGAAGTTGAATTTTAAACAGGTTACACATAGGCATCATTTCTGGTGCATAATTTTTCTGTAAAAAGAAATGGATAATATAGAGGAAGCTTAACATATCCTTTAAAAGAGCAACCACAGTTAGCTGTCCTACATTCACATCTGTAGGGATTTCTTACTCTAATATCCCTATAGACAGACTGGTCAAGAACTATGTAGGCTATTATAAAAACATGATTTCATGTAAGCTTCAGGAAATCTAAATCATTAATTTTCATAGAATATGTGAAAGCAAAATTGCAAGGAAAAAAAGAAGGAAGGCCTAAGAGATTGCTGAAGAAACTCAAGGGGAAAATTTATTACCCTAAAAGACAAATGCTTTGAGAAAGAGGCCCAGGGACCAGTCGATCAAGTTGCTACTAATACGGATACTGGATATGTTTGTGATCTTAATTTTAGAGATGGATTCATGGGCTTATACTTTTATGAAAACTTGAAACCATACACTTTAAATGTGTACATTTATTATAGGTCAGGTCACCTAAATAAAAACAACAACAAAAAAGAAAAGAAAAAAAATTATCCAGCCTACAGGTGTGTTAAAACAAACAAGTGTCCATCTGCAATTCAGAAGAAATATCAGTTTTCAATGGCACTTCAAAACTTGAAAGATTTCATGTTGCTAAAACGCATACACAAATATACTCTCTTCGCATTAGTTGAAAAACAGAACGTTTAACATTTCAAATTAAAATAACGGTTTAAATTAGTGTAATATAAATGAAATTCGCTTTTAGGGGAAATAAGAGAATGGGGGAGAAGATGACAACATGAAGAAAAATAGATGTCGGTGAGGAAGGAGCGTTGGTATTTTCAAGCAGTAAATATTCAACTGTGAAATGAAAAAGTGGTAGGTTTGCAAGAAGAATTGGAAGAGACCTTCATTCACCATCCAGTCATTCAACAAATATTTAATGAAATCTTAAACTACTAGGCTTTGCAAATCAATGATTAACCAAAAGAAAGAGATGGTCTGGTCTTTGCCATCATTCATTTGTAGTATGGCAGGGAAGAGAGTCATCTCATAAATATTTAATTACTTTGTAAAAAGTGGTCAGAAAAGGATCCATGAAAAAGTATGACCAAGTGTTAAGGAAAGTTTCTCCGAGGAGGTGTTATATGAGTTGGGATGTGCAGAACGAGTCATCCTTAACTCTGTGAAAGGAGACAGCCATATGTAAAGGCCCCGAAGTCCATAAACATAGTGCTTTTGAATAACTGACACACGAAGTGGTCCATCAAACAGAGATGTAGGAGATAAGATCCATGGGACTTTATAATGGAATGTATTTGGAAGGAAAGGGATAGTCACAAAAATGACACCAAGATTTATGCAATGTGCAACTGGATAGATATTTATGGCATTTTCCAAGATATAAATTCAGAATGCAGACCAAGCTAGTTAGTAGGTGTCTATTCTGATTTCATGGTCCTTAGAACTTTCAACTAAATGTGTTGCATAAAACTACATCAAAATTTTAGAATTCTGTGTGTCAAAGGACACAACAGAGTGAAAAGGCAGCCTATAGAATAAGAGAATATATTTGCAAATTATTTTCTGACAAAGTGTTGATAACCAGTATATATAAAGAACTCCTATAACTCAATAACAACAATAACAGTAACAACAAAACGAAATAGCTCGATTAAGAAAGGGGCAGATTGCTTTCAACATTTCTCCAAAAAATATATACAAATGCCTAAGAAGCATATGAAAAGATGCTCCATATAACTAATCATTAGAGAGATTTAATCAAATCCACAGTGAGATATCACCTCACACCAATTATGATGGCTGCTATCAGCAAAACAAGTGTTGGTGGAAATGCAGAGAAATCGAAACCCTTATGCACTATTAGTAGGAGTGCAAAATGGTGAAGCCATTATGAAAACAACATGAAGGTTCCTCAAAAAATTAAAAATACAATCATCACAAAATCCAGCAATACCACTTCTGGGTATATACCCCACAGATTTGGAAACTAGGTATAAAAGAGACAGTTGTACATTCATGTTCACAGAGGCATTATTCACAAGAGCCAAAAAGTGGAAGTAACCCAAATGTTCATGAATATATAAATGAATAAACAAAATGTAGTATATGCACAGAATGAATCATTATTCAGCACTAAAAAATAATGAAATTCCAACACATGCTATAGCATATATAAACTTTGAAGACACTATGCTAAGGGAAATATGCCAGTCTCAAAAAGACTAATATGTATGATTGTACTTATATGACGTATTTAGAGTAGTCAAACAGAAAAAAGAAGGTAGAATGGTGACTGTCATGGCTTCCAGGAGGGGAATACACATAAGTTTCGGTTTTGCAAGATGAAAAATTTCTGGAGACTGGCTGGTCAACAATGTGAATATATTTGACACTAATGAAGTGTATACTTAAATATAGCTAAGAGTTTATGTTATATATTTATTACAAATAAACATTTAAGAAATAATAATGACAACTAGCTAGCTAGAGAGAAAATTGATCCATCAGTAAATAGCAAGCTAGCTACATTTGTAAGGCAAGCTGTGGACCGAAAGTCTAAATTTGGGAAACATAGAAAATAACAATAATTTGCTTACAATACTTTACATCCTTCTCTCCCTTTACCCTTGAAATCCTGCATTTTTGGTGACTCTGTTAGTATGAGTTCTTCCCATTCCATCCTTCCTAAAATCGAGTTAGACACAGGGTCTGTTTTCATTTACCAAGGGAAAACACTTTGACGATTTTGAAGCAGCAGCAGACATGGAGTGTTTGTAGCTACGCTATACTGCAACGATAAAAATATCTGCACCTAATTACAGCAGACATTAAAAATGACAAGGGTAGACAGGAAAAAAACACAAGACTACTCCTTTGAGTAAATACTCGTTGCTTATAGAGAAAAAATCCATTGCTTGCACATCCATGCATATCCGCCTTGAACAATCTCCCTTGAACAAACACCATCCTGCCTACCTTGTTTACGCACATCCTCTACAGCGGCCACCAGCTCTTCTTTGAGATCCTGACTCTCCTTAGCGATCTGTTCACCTTTTTCCAGGAAATTTTGAGTGGCTTGCTCTACAGATGCAGCCAGTACGTGGGCTTTCTTTGATCTCCCTTTCTTTTTACCAGATGGGCCTTTGTTGCTCGTGTTCACAAGAGTCGTCACCTTAAATACAAAAGAAAAACCGTGAAATGACTTTCAGAAAATGGTCTAGCAATGCCATGGTATCACCTCATAATTTCTCAGTAGCCCATGTCTATGAAATCATAGGATTTCATGATTAAAATCATGAAGGTACATTACATAATCTCATCCAGGAAAGTGTGTAATGACACAGATTAGCTTACAGATAAACGGTCATCATTCATTTATTGTAAAAAATCAAAAAGCATATAAGTAAGTAGAAATAGCAGACTTGTCAGTAGCTCAACATTTCAAGATCATTCATATCTCAGATCAACAAGAACAGTTCTCCTTGGAGTAATCAGCCCCAAGGAGTCAAGAAAAGCCAAAAAAAATGTGGACCTTTCTTTGAGCATCGAGTTAGAAGAACTAACAGCCACTCCCGAGCCCTGTAAGTAAGGGTAGAGATGAATGAGCAATTAATAAATGATGAGTGGTCAATATCCAAAACGTATGTGCTACTTTCCAAGGACTTCTGAATATTTTTGCTATTAAAAATTTCATCTTATAAAAATAAAATGCTAAATTTGATGCAAGGGGACTGAAGGAATTAGGCTCAACATTTAGTTAACCAGTCAATGTTTCCAGAATCAAAATTATATTTGCATTTATTATCACTGTTTTTCTAAGTACCATAATTTGAACACACATGTCAACTGCCAAACTTCTTTTAGTACTACATCTAGAGGTATTTAATTTGCTAACAAAGCTTTTAATATCCTTCAAGCAACTTGTTATCACCTATGGACTTTTGAACCTTGATTTTCTACCCGTGAGAAGTTTGGAAGGAAATTGAATGCAACTGTTCCAAATTCTGTTATGCTAGTCATGTTTACTGCTGTTTTTTTTTTTTAATCAGCTTCCTAGGACTGTGGGTTCTGTGGTTTACTTTCATTGACATTTTTCATGGTTAGCAGACTAAAGATTTTATTGGAGGTTATCAAGAAAGCCAGTTCACAGAAAAGTCGCAAATGCTATAGCTTCTGATGTATAGGACAAATCCGAACACTAGCAAAGCAATTAGTCAAAATAACAATTAACGTCCAGTTTGTAGAGCAAGAGATAGCACTGAAAGAAAAAACATACTGAATAAAAATGAACTAAAATGAGGAGTACAGATAGAACCAGTTATAAAAAAATAAAAAGTTGATTAGTGCAGTCTTGAGAGCTGTCATATTCAGTTCTCTTGATTGCTAAATAATTAGGAACAGTGAATTTAAGGAGGGTTCTATAAGGACATTTAAGTACAAACACTAGACAAAAAGAAAGGGAAGTCATTTAAAATAAGAATGTCAGATAATGGTGGCTCAGCTGTAAAATGTGTATGCAGGGTGAAACGCATTGTAGTCTTTTCAGATTTACCCACAAGGCGGCAACCAATAAAATAAAAGACAGCTTGTCACAAAGTTGCTTTTCTGAGGTACAGGAATGTTTTCCCTAATAAGGATTTACTCTAACACATTAACACACTACTCTTCCAAGAACCTCGACTCTCCAGAACAGCCAGTACAATACCTGGAAATAAGCACATAAGCCCCCTAAGCAAACACACAATTTCTGAATCTTCATTTAGAGTAGGTTCTTTTATTTATTTATTTATTTTGAGTTGGAGTCTCATTCTGTTGCCCAGGCTGGAGTGCAGTGGCATGCTCAAGGTCACCCCGGTGTTGACCTGCTGGGCTCCTTAGATCCTTCCACCTCAACCTTCCAAGTAGTCAGAACTACAGGCGTGCACTACTACACCCGGCTAACTTTTATTTATTGGAGAGATGAGATTTTGCCAAGGTGCCCAGGCTGGTCTCGAACCCTTGGGCTCAGGCAATCCCCTCACCTCGGCCTCCCAAAGTTTACAAAGATTACAGAGATTACAGGCTTGAGCCACTGCGCCCAGCCAGCTCTTTTTATCAGAGGAAAAGACTCCCTATTCTGAGATCTGATTTATTCTCATGTCGTACATAATGAGAGGTTTTGTGCTCAGTGTTTAGACTGCACAAATTAGAAAAATGGGGTGTGAGGGAGCTGTTAGTTTTAGGCAAACTGATGGTTTTAAGAAGTGGTAGCCTACAGTGAATCTACGAAATTAGCTACCTAGCTTTACTGTGGATTCACTTCCTGGAGAGGCAAACACATTTCAAAGCCTTTGTTAGGCCATGACACGTTACTGTATTAAGCAGGGTTTTGGTAATGCCCATAAAAACAAACCAAGGTAACCTGTAATTTTGGAAGTATGATTACTTCCAAAAGAAGCAAATTGATCCTCTTTTACTAAAAGCTCTCATTTACTCATGGGTAGAAGAGCATGAAGAGAAGAAAGAAAGAAGAATAGAAAGGAAGGGATAGGCCTCCATGTGGCTCCTGTCTTAATCAGCATAGGATAAAGAAGCAAATGTCAACACCCTCCACTGCTAGTCAGTGTTTTGCAGGAAGACAAAGTCAATAAATTGGATCAAAAAAGAAAGGCGATATACAAATATTAGAAATTAATTAATGACATTTATTAATTAATTGTCATTACATTATGTCATTACTTATAGAGAATATGATTCTCAAGAAAATGTGAAAGAATTAAAAGGCAAAAAAGTGGAACTACTACAAGAGCAAAGACAAGGTGACCAAATACTAGTTAAACAATAAAAATCGAACAGACGAGCAGTTACTAAGGAGAAATGCAGTTTTAAATAGCCCATTCACAATAACTATAAATTGATATGCTCAGAGATAACCATAACTACACATAGAACGTAGTGTGGAGAAAATGATAACAGTTTAATGAAGAACATTCATGCTTAATGAAGAACATAAAAAAACTAAATTATAGAGGAACACACTGCATTTTTAAAAGCTTAACAAGCTCTCAGCAAATCAGAAAAGGATTATTTAGGGTGTGCCTATGCAGGACTGTTGCCAGTCACTTTCTGGCCAGTATATCAAAAGTTTGAATGGAAATAACAAAAGCAGCATAGATCCGTTAGTAAGTGAGAAAGTGGGGTCTTGTTAGGGTTTAACTATTCTCAACAATTCTCAGCCTAGCCCTTACTAAGCACGTTCATTGACTCAGTCCCACTCTCCTATATGCCATGTGCATCCTCTTACCACACCATAAAAATCTATGACATTCTACACTGTCATGGATTTTCCTTTTCTCCCACCTGAAGCTGTAATTTTCACCTTGGTGTTGTAGGTTTCTTTTTTTCTTCTTGCCTTGTATCTCTATTTGCACCTAAAATTGTGAAAGTTAAGAAGAATTTACTTCAGTTCTATTTTGGTATTTACAGGTGACGAAATTCAGCTTAGAGAGCTTAGGCAGAAAAAATAACTTCCTCAAATTCACCTGGTTCTAGGGAAACAAAAGACTAAATTATTTGTGTGCTCTATTTGCATCTTTGGAATTGGAGACCTCAGCTTGTTTTATTTTCTAACAGAATGAGAAGCTACTAAAGGATCCTAAAATGTCTTTATTGTCCACATACATCGCACTACATTTATTTGTATCCTACTAGGTGTCTCTTCATTTAATGGCATTATTTATATATCTTAATGAATGGGTACATTTATCAATGTTAGTGAAATGTTCAGCAACAATTTTGTTCTACCTTCCTGCAATGTCCTACGACATCTAATGTGTTCAAGGGTCTCAGGCTAAATAAACACATCAAGGGCTTTTTGTGTCAGCAGAGAGTAAAAAACAGGACAAAAGTATTTCAGAACTCATAGAACTAACCCAGTGATGCATCCTCGGCTTGCTATGTAACAGTGCTCTTCTATACAAAGAAGTAAAAGGGAATTCGTTGCTCATTTATGAAGATTTAATATATTCTAAAGATCAAGGGTCAAAGAGGTTTTAATGAAGAAAACGACTACGTAGTCCCACGGATCCACCCCCCACCTCACTAGTAAGTTAGGGAGAATCAGAATTATCAATTGTAATCAACAGTGCAGTCAGCTGCTCTGTAAGAATGTGGTTGGATCCATGACTGGGATGTCCTAGAGAGATCAGATCAGCAGGAACACATTCCGATCAATGGGGTAGCCATGGAGGCAGGCCAATTGCTGGAATTTCAGGTATCTGTATCTAAGGTCTGATACCCAGACTGACACAGGTCTGTTAGATGGGATTCATAAATTTTCAACTTGTTAGAAGTCTTTTAAGAAAAGGCTTATTTAGATTTTGCCAAGACATAATATATCCATGTAACAAAACTGCACTTGTACCCTCTAAATCTGTACTTTAAAAAGGCAAATGTCAGCATGCTTTCTTAAAGATTCATCGTAAGCTGTTTTCTTTCCATGAATGGGAGAGTTTGACAGAGAAACACTTTTTAAGCAAACATTGGAAATATATTACTATAACATGCTTCTTTCTCTACTGGGCCCTATGAGGGCAAGTAGAGAAATCCAAAAATAAAAGGCAAATGTCAGCATGCTTTCTTTAAGATGCATCATAAGCTGTTTTCTTTCGGTGAATGGAAGACTTTGACAGAAAACACCTTTGTAAGCAAACACTGAGAAAACACTGAGAATGTGTTATTAAAACATGTTTCTTTCTTAAAAAATAGGTTTATTCTTTGGAAATCCCTGGTTGAACCTTATGCCTTCCTCTGCTCCAACCAGGAATTCTAACTCCTACTCCCAATTTTTACACAAAGCAAGAACCAATCAAGATCCATACACTCTCCTTTCCTCTCTTATTAATTTGCAAGCACGTGTGTGTGTGTGTGTGTGTGTGTGTGCTTGTGTGTGTGTAGCAGGAAAACAACGCAAAGTCCCAGCAACAGAGACTAGTAGTAATAGAATGAATATTGACACATGCAAAAATAGACTTGATTTTTTAAAATTATTATTATTTTTTATTATAAAGATGTGGTGTACAATTCGGAGTACAGGTTAAAGAACAGGTCACAGATAAGAATGTAAGTGTTCAAGGGTACTTGGATCTATTACTGGTCCCAATGAACCCTGGCCAATGTAAAACCTCAGTAATA